ACTTACTAGATTACTAGTTTATTGTGAAAAGATAGAACTCAGGAACAGCCAGATGGAAGAGATGCACAGAGCAAGGTGTGGGGAAGGGCCAAGGAGTTTCCATGCTCTTTCCAAGGGCACCGCCCCGCACCCCACGACAACACCTTCATGTGTCACCAACCCGGAAGCTGTCTGAACCCCCATCCTTCGGGTTTTTATGGAGACTTCATTACATAGCCTTGATTAATTAAATCATTGGCCATTCGTGATTGATTCAAACTCCGGGCCCTCTCCCCTTTGGTGTGGGGGTTGTTAGGACTGAAAATTCCAACCCTTCAATCACGTGGTTGGCTTCCTGGGCAACCAGCCCCCATTCTTAAGTGAAGTCCAAAGGCCACCATATTAACATAACAAGGACACCTTTATCACTCTCAACACTTAGGAAATTCTAAGGGTTTTAGGAGCTCAGTGCTAGGAATTGGGGGATGGGAGCGGGAGAAGACCAAAAATATATTTCTCATTATAAATCACAATATCACAGCATGTTTTAGAAACAACTCAGGGTGAGGGCAGACTACACAGATTTACAGCTCAAGCTCTGAAGTTTGATGACACGTGTTCAAATCCTGACTCCAGCTCTTATGAGCTGAAAACATTGGGCAAGTCCCTTCATGTCTCCAGCCTCGTTTTGCTCATCTGTAAAATGGGGATAATAAAAGTAATTGCCCGTGAGGTTGCTGTGGAGATAAAATAATTTAGCTCATGCAAAGCACCAAGCACAGAGCATCCAGAGAACAAAACTCCAATACAGGCATACGTTGGCGATATTGCAGGTTCGTTTCCAGACCCCCATAATCAAGTGAGAATTGCAATAAAGCAAGCTGTAATCTTTTTGCTGGTGGAGAGTCTTGCCTTCAACTTGTAAAAATTCAACAGCTGTGAAACGCAGTAAAGCAAAACGCAATAGAACGATCCACCTGTGCAGCTTATAGGGTTGTAGGTGACACAGTTGCAGAGATGAGATTCTGCACCCTTCTTTACGGATGGGAGACCTGAGGCCTAGACAGGGAAAGTTGCCCCAAATCACACAACAGATTATTGGGTGAAACAAGACTACCACGTGGGTCAAATTAGTTAATTTGGATGCCGATTCAGCAGGACGGGAGCATTTTAAACACATGCAGGTGGTAAAAACAAATGCTCAGGAAGCGCCTGCAGTTCTGCGTTTAACCACTAGATGGCGCTCCTCCCCTACATATGAACAAAGGGAATGGGAAAAAATTAGGACTAGAGCATTTTCTACCTCTTCCCTTGGATCCCGCAAAAAATATCTAACGAGGAGCCGGCTATAGACACCACAGGCACTTAATATGTGATTGAGTCGAAAAATAAAGTTCAGATCTGTTACATACAGAGAAACCAACTCGTGTTGGTTAAGAACTCTAGGTGTCTGCCTTGTCGTCCCAGCTCCCCATTTACCAGCTTCCCAAATTCGTGCCTCAGGGTCCTTCTCTGTAAAATGGCAATAATACTATTAACTACCTCAGAGGGTTGTCTTTGGGTAGATTAAATAAGTTAATATGAAGAAAACAGTTTTTAAAAAGTGCCTGGTATGTTTGCGCCTTCTATAGTTGTCCACAATTATTTATTTCTTAAAACAACTTGATTGAAACCATCACCACTGTCAAGAGGGTGAACACAGATGTCATCCCCCAAAGTTTCCTCATGACCTTTTGCAAACCTTCCCGTCCCCATTCTCAGGCAATCACGGATCTGTTTTCTGTCCCTATAGGTTAGCTTGGATTTTCTAGAATTTTATGTAAATGGAATCTTACAGTATGGGCTCTTTTTGACCTGGCTTCTTTCACTCAGCATACTTACTTCAGATTATTCCGTGATGTGTGTGAGGTTCACCTCTTCTGGTTGCTGTGTAGTATTTCGTTGTCATTTACCTGTGGATGGACGGTTGGATTGCTTCCATTTGGGGGGGGGGTGTCACAAATAAAGCTGCTATGAACATTGTTGTATAATACAAGTCTTCGTAATGACATATACAAGGTGTGATCAAAAGATATCGTGAATGTTTAAATTTTTAAAAAATTATTGCAGTAAGAGACACATTGCCATTAATTCCCCCAAAATACTCCCTCTCGCTGCGAACACACGTGAATGTCTTAAGTTGTGCTGTCGTGGCTGCCTCAATGTCCTGAATCGATTCAAACCGTTTACCTTTCATGGTCATTTTGACTTTGGGGAAGAGCCAGAAGCCACATGGTGCCAGATCCGGTGAACAAGGTGAATAAAGACACACCGTAATGTTTTTATTTGACAGAAATTGCCGTATACCAGAAGCGATGTGTGACACGGAGCCTTTTGGTTGTGATCAAGAAATACAGTGAATGCTGCTGCTGAGCGCCTTCCAACGGAAAGGCAGGGATCTTCAATATGGGAAGCGGCACGTTAAACCTTAGTAACAGTGTGTGACAAGTTTCAGCTTGTTCAGTGCAGTCAGTCACGTATGAGCTACGGTTGAGAGACGGTGTGTTTTAAAGTGTGCTCTAAATCATCCTCCATCATGACAACGCTCCGTGTCACACATCGCTGCTGGTACAGAGCAATTTCTGTCAAATAGAAACATTACGGTGTGTCCTCAGCCCCCTTATTCACCGATCTGGCACCGTGCGATTTCTGGCTCTTCCCCAAAGTCAAAATGATTCAGGACATGGAGGCAGCCGCGACAGTGCAGCTCAAAACTGACAAAAGAGGACTTCCAGAACTGCCTCAGACAGTGGCCAGAATGATTGGGATAATGTGTTCGAAGCAAGGGGGGTTATTCTGAGGGGG